ATTTATTTTCGAGTCATGATACTTTAGTAATTTCCTGAATTTGTTCATACAAATTACTGACAACACTATGATATAATATATGCCAATACATTTTCCAAATAATATTCTACAAATCATACATCAATTTAAGACTATAACAAGTAAAGTCTTACCACAAGAATAGTTTAGACCTAAACTCACCAAAATAAGCCGATACTTTTGACCAAAAATCCTGCATAGGCCACTGTTTCATGAATTAGACTTCTCTTTTAAGTCGTTAATCCCATTGAATGTGAAAGAAACGTACAAAACCAAGTGGCAAAGACTCAATCTTAGTCCTATCAATTCATATTCATGCAATATATCCCAATGATGTTAATTATATGTGTCACCATCATAAATTTTCCCTATAAATAGACAAGTTTGGTACTCTTAAGTTAATATCATTCCACAAAAATTGAATCTATTGTATTAAGTTCCATCAAGAAAATATGGTTTACTCTTCTTCCTATCTTCCATTGCTATTATTCACTCTTTTCCAATTAATTGTAATTCAAAACCATTTGTTTTGCAAAGCTGATCCTACTGATGGTTTCACTCCCATATCTATTAACCAAGGCAATTTCGAAATTCAAAAGCCTTATGATGTGCCTGTGAATCAAAGGTATTCCTTCATTGATGGAGTACACAAATTTTGGGTTTACAAGACTGACAAGCCTCACACTACATCTAGCCAAACAAAACCCCGTTGTGAAATTCGTATAACGGTAAAGTTCAAAGAAAAATTCATCAACTTTTTTCAATTACTTGTGTATTGGTTTAATTTCAAGTTAGTTGTGGTCGATTATATTGTCAATTACTATGTCATCATAACATGACATAGTATATTGTTTCAATGGTCTGATTTTGACTCAATCGACTAGGTATTCATGTGTCTCATTTGTACATCACAATCCTCTAGCTCTGACTCCATCTTTGTTGACTTGATCGATCGAGTCAAAAATAGACCATTGGAGCATATAACCTTTAGTTCACAAGAATTTTTTATCGACCTAATTGAGATCACTACTAGAAAATAAGAAATTAGCAACATACATATTTTGTAGCTATTATATGTTCTCTTGTAGTGAAAATATCTAATAATTATTAATGTTATTATATAGGGGAATGATTATTCATCAGGTGTTCGACAATTTGAGGGATATTTTTATGTGCCAAGTGGTTCATCTGGTGTGTCAATAATGCAAGTATTTGGAGCATCACCATCATCCACAACTTTAATGTTAAGAGTTTATGATGGAACTCTCTATTACTATAGAGAAAAAGTTATTGAATCAAATATTTATAATAGATGGATCAGATTAAATGTGATTCATGATGTTGGTGCAAGTAAATTAAAGGTTTATATTAATGGAAATCTCAAGCATGAACCATCAGGAAGAGGTGGAGACCATCATTATTTCAAATTTGGAGTTTATACACAAGACAATGAATCTGATCGAATGGAATCTCGTTGGAGAGGAATTAAGCTTTTCAAGAAATAAACATCTATCACTTGTAGTGTCTTAACATGATCGAGCGGACTAGCTCTATATGGATCATGAAACTTATGTAATTTCATTTAATTAGGAAATATGATGTATTAAGACAAATAAATCATCCTCTTAGGTTTATGATCATGAGGTTGAGTTGAATAAGATTTTATAAAAATAAATGAAACAAGCTTTAATCAGTCATGCATGTTAATTTCGTTTACACCTTTTTATGCCAGTAATACCTAACAAAAAATAGAAGGTGATGATAGTTTACTTCAATTTTATTTTTATTTTTTTGGATAAGTCAAATACATTGAAGAATTATATATTAATTTAAAATAAAAAAATTACTGAAAATATAACATAACTTGTTTCTAAGGTTCATAGAAGACGGAGTTGAGAACTAACTTGGTGAGCTTCATATCTTTCATAATTGAAGTAGTGATTTCAAACTCATAATAAAAAAAAATCTTTATAAAAACGGTTGACTGTTGACTGTTGACTGTTGACCATTATAAAAAAAAAATTAATTGATTTGTTGTGTTAATATCAATATAACATAAAATTTCCATTTCATTATAGATAAGTAAAACGTCCTTTTGAATCACTAGGATTTGCGGCTCTAAGGCTTACTATAACTTACACATTATGAATTAAATCATAAATAAAAAGGTAATAAATGAGTAATTGAGAGAAAAAATTCTAACAAGTAAACTGAAAAAATATCCCAAGGCCAAATGAAAATGATAAAGTTAGACCTGATATAATTAGTCACTTGAGAAAGTAAGAATGATTTATTGAAATATCAATAATCTCCTCTTAATTAGCTACTAGCTTTCAAGAAAGACAAATTAATTTATAATAAATTATATACACTACCTATTTTTTAATGAGTTGTTCAGCAATTTTTGCCATTAATACAAGATCAAATTGTTTTCTACTTCTATCTAACATTTCAGGTGTTGTCTTACTACCAAGTACATTCTGACAGTCACTCACAAATTGGGGACACTTTGAGAGGTCATTTTCTAAGCCATTATAATCCTTGTTAGCTAATGATTTAGCAGCATCTTGAAGCACGGTTATCAACAATCCATAACTGCTGTCACAAATACTATACAAGTCTTTGGTCTCTTTGTCTTTTGCATTTGCTTTAGCTGTCTCTACGAAAGCATGGTTGTCATTAGCATTTTGTAATGATTTGGTGATAGCAGCTCGAGTTACTTCTTCAGGAACATATGGATGAGAAGGTATAATTTGTCTAAAAGTGGTTAAGCAAAACTGAAGATCTTGTACTTGTCTACATATACCTGTTATTAATGCCTCATCTGCACTAATGTCACATAAAGAAGTTTGAAAGTTGAAAATGGTTGCGACAAATACTAAAGGAAGAAAATATGAAGTAAAAAGAGAAGCCATTTTAATTTCTTCAATAATTGTTACTCTGATTTTTTAAGTGGATGCAAGTGAATATGTATAGGTATGACATTGAAGCAAAATAGGAATAAACATAAAATTTATTACCTTATTATCTATTTCAAAATTCTATGACATATATAGAAATAATGTTAAGTTATTTACTTCTTCAGCTTCCAATCATATATAGAAATAATGTTAAATTTTGATATATTTCTTTCCAACTAATTATGTTATTTCCTCATATGACTCATATGAGTGAAACATATTTAGTAAAAGCATAATAATTATTAACAAAATTATTTTGAGTTTTTTTCCAAAAACATAGTTTTATTTCAAGCATATTCCCTCTATTCTATTTTACTTCGCTTTTATTAAAAATAAATTATTATTTTTACTGTTGAGTTTAACAAATTAAAAGATTTTTGTTTCTCCCAATATTATCTTTATCACTTAATAGTTATATAAATTAATAATAGTCCAACTTAGATTTTCAAAACATAATTAATTTCTTCCAAAACATTACTTTTGTCTTAGGCATATCCTTCCATTCTATTTTACTTGGTTTTATGAAAAAGAAATTATTGCTTTTTACCATCCATTTTAGCAAATAAAATTTTTCATTAATATAAATTTCAGTATAAAATCCATTTCCAAAGAGACCTGCTACATAAAATTATTTATAATAATTCATTTTTTAAATATTATAAAAGACAAGAAAATTATTTAAATATAAAATCTTTAATATATGTACTATATTTTACTAATTAAAAATTAAAGGAAACTACTACACTATCAATAAATTCATAATCAAATGTACAAATATTTAAACTCTAAGGCACCCATTTTAAAGCTACTTGAAAATTAATTTTTTTCCAGATTGATAGAAGAAGTCTATAATTAATACTTGTAGTTTGTTTCGTATGTTATAGTCCAGGCTAAAGTGGATGGTGTATGGTGACTAGATTCATTTTGTAGCATAGATTCTGTAACAACAAAAAACACTACTATCAACAGAAATTGACGAGTTCTTAACGTTAATCGCATTTGGTAACAAATCAAAATCGAGTTTAAATTTGAAAGGTCTTTCTTTATTTTCAAAGCAAGAAGAGAGGAGCGAATTCAGAAAGAAAAGACTTATTTCCTGCATTCCTTCCTTTCCAAAAAGAAAAAAAGAGGATTGATTTGTGCAAAAAAGATTGGTAGGAACTGAACGATCCTATTTGGTCAAATACCTAGCGACAAACTCTTATCTTTCTTGATTTCATCACGGTAATTCTGAACAAGTTCCTCGATAAGAAGCCTAAAAGTTTTCTTCTTGATGAGATCGGTATTGATGATAGTGACCTAATTGATACGAATCTGAATCTACTAACTAGAATGGATGAGGATGAGCTAGAATTTCAAGAGCATAAGGCACATTCGTTAAGTGCAACTTGACAGCTACCAACAACATAATGAAGGCAGTCACTCTATATAAATTAATCCGAAATTTAATTTAAATCAACGGAGGGAAGAAGTCTATACCTATTGCCATAACAAAAAAGGCTCCCTTTCTTACTTGATTGAAACTAAGAGTCAAGGCATCAAAAATAAAAAATTGAAGGCAATCTAAGAGCTTAACAATTAGTAATTTTTAAATTTCAATCCACATAATAAAAGCATTCTTAGTACGTATTTTTCAAATCTTAAACTTTATACAAAATAGAGAGCTTTTGCCAAATAAATAGTTATATATGTGCATATCTTTCAACAGAATGAAATCTTTAATTATGGAATTATGTGCTCATGTAATGTTCTTTGTCATACGTTAGAAGTTTCAAAATATTTTATTTTTTATTATTTTATTTTTTAATCGTGGTGTCCAGATCAGCTTACATGCACCTCGACTAATTCCATAGAATACCTGCCCACTTCCCACCAGCAACAAGTACTATGTAACTCTGTCCACCTAGGCTAGGACAGATGAGAAAAATCACTTAGTGTTTTTTTAATCTCCGCTGAGTTTTGAACCTGAGATAAAAAAAAATCATGTATAATGGGGTTTCCTCAAGTAGAAAACTGAGAAGCTGCAGACAAATGTTTGTTGTATAGTATATGTAACAGATTGTCAAATTTAAATTGGCATATAAGAATGTTGATAACTTCCAACCCTCAACCCACACAATATCCACATACATATCTTAAAATGGCACTCAAGAAGAAAGCTTGATACAGGTGAAAGAAACTTCAAATAAAAAGGGGATAAACATATAACATAAGAAAGCATACTATTCACTGAAATCAATGCTGCCACTGCGAGAGCTGCTGGCGTTTCGACTATGTAAGGAGAGGCCCCTCATGTGACCGGATGGAGCCGAGCCATCAGACCTGTTATTCTGGAAGAATTTTTCTCTCTCAGCATGTTTTGCAGGTGGTGGAGGAATTGCTACAGCAGCTGTTTTTTCAATGTTGTTTTCTTGCTTCTGCTCTGTAACCACCGGTCTTATAAGTGGACGATGTAGCATATCCCCTGGAACTGCAGATCCTAGCAATCCAAAAGGACGTTCTACTTTGCTGCCTTCATCTTCCGGCTGTAACCGAGCTTTTCCTTTTCTTATCCTATCGAGTAGAGCTTATTGTTAACAAACAAACAATACTCATCTAAGTACAAAAGGCTGATTGTTATGAGGTGGGTGAAAGCGAGAACTGTAAGGGGTCATTTGATTTGACGACAAATTATGATGAGACCAGTTATAGTGGGATTAGTTATGGCTGGATTTAGTTATTCTGGTATTACTTCTTATTGATGGTATGGTTTATTGTATTAAAAAGAAACTACCAGTGTATTTCTTGCAGTTCCACATTAAGTTTGGCATTCTAAAAAGGCATTACCTTCGGAAAAGCTGTTCAGGCTCCTCTTCTTCTTCTGACTGGCCATGATCATGTGGATTTGAAGTAGAGGTTGGCCTAACAGAAAGAAGTGCATCGTGTCTTTTGAGAACTCTATCAAGTTTCTCGTTCAGCTCGGCAGCTTGGGAGACCACCTTTTCATCCCTGGAATATTTGAGCAAGGATTAATCTTCAACATCATATGCAGTGAAGGGTGGTTGTGCAAAATGTGCAAGTCCCTCTAATCTTACTCAACTTTTTTTCTACTTCTTCTGATGGGTAGTTGTGCTGCTTCTATTAGATTCTTTTAGGATATTCAGATGGTGATGCACCTATTTCTTGAAGTTGCACATATTTGTCCATATTTGTGAGTTGGGGAGAAGTGGGATTCAATATCCTGGGAACTTCCAATATTTTATCCAATGTAGAGAAGAAGATGGAATGTTGCATCTCGGTTGTGCTTCTTATCATATTTTCATTTCTTCTCTTAAACGATCAATTTAAACCCGAGAGTATAGCACTGATAAAAAAAACTAAAAAACACTCCAGAGATGAACAGTGACCTCTAGCTTATCCATTCTCTGTTTATTCCACTTGTTCTTTAATTTTACTTTGGCTTCAGTAATTGAACAAACACAGCCCTTCTCTTCCCATCTTAAAGAAACCTAAGCGTCAAAGTCTCTGATGCACTGTATGGAATAGGAAAGAAACAAAGCAAACTCTAAGGAAATCCTATAGCAGAGGGTGTAGAGTCAAACTGATGCCTAATTTTGCATATGCCCCCTTATGAAGATGCATCTTAATCTAGCACTCCCTTTGTCACTAACTCAAGAGTGTTTAATAAAAAATGAAAGGGTCTATCAAGAAGTCATTTGGTGCAAAGAAGGTGGTTTTTCCTTGCTTCTAGACTGACCAGAATATAGCAATTGATGCCAGGAGTCTGAAAGCATTACCGGGAACTTATAGCAAGATGCATTACTCGTTGCTTTTGAAACGAACATTGCTCCACAAGATCAAGCGTGAACTCATCCTTTGCTCCCTTTGGGAAAAAAACGAAAGAAATTAGAGTCCATATCTCAGCACCTCCTGGGTTCCAAACTTGAATAACATTTTATTACCTTCTCCAAAGAAAACAGGAAAAGAAATTACAGTCAAAACTGCTTATCAGATAGGAATGACTGAAAGCTGGAAACAATACTCCCAATGTGCACAGTTATATAACTAAGACCATATCTAACTCAGACGAAAAATGGCACGTTTGTATGCACATTAGATATTGACGGTGCAAATACAATAACACAAAAAAAAAATTGTCATGCCAAGAAAATCAACTAAATACAAAATCTACTTTCTTCCCAGTAAACATATCTCTGACACACATAGATTTACATCTTACATGAAGAGCAAATCAAACAGAATTGCCTGGACAACAGCTTACTTCATCCAAGTAAACCATTAATTTCAAAAGCTACAATAGTTCACTAAAAATAAAACATAAGGTAGCAGATTTGTCAACGATAACTTAAGAAGAGAAAATGATTCCATTTATACCAACCACAGTACATAACCCTGTTAAAGAACGTTAAACTTACGAATGTTAGATTACACAAACATACCTCAGGATGCTGAGGGTCGACAGCATCAAGGACTTCTCTTAGAACCTCCAGAGCAGTGGCAGCCTTCTGTAGGATACTGCACAAAATAGAAGCTCTCTTACTAAAATACTTTTTGACTTCTAAAGATTAAATAAAATAGGCTATCTATGGATATTTTGGTTCACCTAGGACTATGGAGAAGCAGCAAGTCAAGAACATATGCAAATAATTTGATGATGAAGGAAAGAAGCTATGCAGGGAGAAAAGTGTAAAGGAGAATGTAGTTCATCAAAAAGTGAGAAGAAGAACGTAAACTAAACAATAAACACTGCAAGGCAGTAAGAGAACAGGAGTGATATGAAACTATAATAAAGAGGGAAGAAATTGATGATAAACAGACCTCAAATAAGTGAAGAAAGTTGATTTTTCAGGCTTGCTCGACTTCTGATTTTCTGACTACTTTGTTAGAAGGGAAGAGTATAGGCTATCTATAGATATTTTGGTTCTGTTTCTTCTTAATACTTGGGTTTTATGCAAGATGGATTTTTTTGGTTGGGTTTTTGTTGAAATGAGGCTATGCAACAAAGTTAGACGTGTCGAACCCCATTCAGCCTTGGGGACAAACACATTTAATTTCACTTACTAATTAATAAGTTTATTTCTATGGAACACAACAGCTGATTGGACCAAAGTGTGAAATTTTTTATACTACAACATTCTATATATCATTTTTAAGTTCCCAACTTAAATAAACTTCTAATGACATCTTCAGAACATATAGCTATAGAAAGAGGAGTTGGAAAAAAATGTTATAGAAGTTCTATAGGAGCCTGAATATGTAATAGGAGCTTTCTTTCAGAATATACAGGCTCTGTCTGGGTAGAAGTATCCATGGAAAGAACAAGCAAGCTCGCAGCTTGCACCAAGAGTGAGGATATAGAACCAGAAAAGGGATAAAATATGGAATTCTTCTCCTTCATTCAGGCCACTACTACTCAACTGAGGAGGCAGCTAATTTTTAATTCATCAACGTCTTTAGCCACTAATATTACCTGGTACACCAAACTAAGAGAGAGAATTGTAGTAAAGAATTCTTTCTTATTCTCCTAATAAAATCTGAGACGCTATGACATTTACCTGTTGTCCGGAACTTTTTGAGGCTCTGCTTGTGGGAATTTCATTTCACATCTAGAAGAGACATGATCGTTGTCTCTTTGATTATTTCTATTCTCATTTGAGGGTGCAGGCGGTTCAGCGGAGACAAGAGATCTTTGAGGAAACTCCACGCCTGCACTCTGAAAAGTCAAATCTCAAGCATTACCAGGGTATTCTGAGTTTTACACCATCACAAAAATAGCAATGGTGCAGACAATACTTCACTGTAAAGAAGAAAAATTGCATTCACAGAATTTACAAGTAACTCATATTACACATTTAAAAGCTATACTTTATTAATTCTCTACTGATGCATGTTAGATGACCTCACTCCCTGCGCCGTTGAAAATACAAAGTTAAATAATTCTTCGAGTAGGGGTAAAATGCCTTCAGAAAAGAACCATGAGAGTATTGGGCCAAATTTTATTGCAATAATATGAGAACCATATTCTTCACCCTTTCAAATTAAAAAATGGAATATCCAATCAAACCCTGTAAGCAAACAAATTGATATTCTTAAAAAGAAGTACTCCCTCCGTCCCAATTTATGTGGCACCGTTTAACTTGGCACAAAGTTTAAGAAAAAGAGGAAGACTTTTGAAATTTATGGTCTTAAACAAATCTTAGACGATTGTGTGGCTCTGTAAAAGGGCAATTTTAAAGTTAGGTGGTTTCTAATTATAGAAAGGCGACATTCTTCATGGGACTAAAAAGGAAAGTGCGCAACATAAATTGGGGCAAAGGGAGTAACAGTCGGCAACAAAAATGAAGAGGCACTGCAAAATAGATAACCATGCAAACTTTACGAAGTCAATTATATGACTTCCACTCTCTCCTAACCAACCCCAGTTTATTTTAGGAGGGAGTGGAGTCAAATATTGGGCAGTACTGGAACAGATCCTATGCTACTTAGAAGGAACCCCTGGACTTGGTACATTATATAACAACAATGGGCATTCTGGCATGTGTGTTTTGCAGATACTAATTGAACTAGATCAAAGATTGATAGAAGATCTACTACTGGTTATTGGTATCTTTGTTGGTAGAAACTTAATATCACAGAGAAGCAAGAAACTAAGTGTTGTATCTCGTTCCAATGCAGGATCTGAATACCGAGCAATGACACAATCCACATGTGAGATTATGTGAATACATCATCTTCTAACTGCAATTGGGTTGATGCATCCTACTCCGGCACAACTTTGGTGTGATAATCAATCTTCCCTCCCTATCGCCTCAAATTCGGTGTATCATGAAAGAATCAAACCTATTGAGGTTGACTGCCATTTAATTTGTGAGAAAATCAAGGAGAATTTGAATTTCACTTGCTACGTGAAGCACAGTTGGACTAAACATTGCTAATTCACTAAAGCCAGCACTTGGTGTGGTGAACTGCAGGTAATTTCCTATTCTGGTTTCATGCATTGCTCTACATAGTTTCATACATTAAGGAAGGCATCCATTCTTAATGTGGAAAGTGTGATGAGCTTGTCAAATGAACTATTGATTAATGTTAGATCGGGGAAGAAGGTTTCTAGCCATTGATGTATTCGTGTTTCCTACAGTGTTGGTGAATTAACTTTTCGAAGACAGGAGAGCAAGTAGATGATTTATTCACAAAGGCATCGAACGGAACTCAGGTTGATAACCTTTGTAACAAGTTGGGTATGATCAACATTTATGCTCTAGCTTGAGGGAGTATTACAAAATCAAGTACGTTGTATATTTCCTGATATAAAATATTGTAGCTGATTCAAAGGATTTAGATATCTAGCTACCATAGTTAACCTATTTTTCACATGTATTTAAAACATTGTATCCTTTGAGTGATGATAAGAGAGAGTCTCCCAAATATTTTGCATTACACTAACCATTAAAAGAATCTCTTACCAGTTACGAAAATTTTCTTAAGCCATCATTTGGTCAACTTTCTCACTTTTTAATATTGAGTTTACATAAAATAGATGTGCTATTTATGGGTTTGCTTAAACACTGAATGTAGAATGAAGTATTTAAGAAACAGATGATGGCAATCCTCAAAATTAGGAAGATATTTTTTAAGGATTACACGCAGCATCTAGTCTCATCAGTCTTCCTTTTTTTTCCCCAATAGAGTGCAACAAGTCGATGTTTCTCAATAGGATACAGTTATATGTAAGGTTAAGGTGAGTTTACTTACCACTAACTCATAATATGAGGAATAATACTGAGGGAACCTCCCAGAAGCTCCGCCAAGAGAAGTTTGTGCAGCATCTAGAAGAAGAAATATCTTCTCTCGTACAGGTAGATCTGACTGTATAAAAAGAAAGAAAAAATTAATACTTCCTTAGATAATAGGAGAATTAGCAAGACCTAAATATGAAAAGTTTAAGAACACAAATGGGGACAATCAAAATAAAAAGTGAAAAATACCAGACCTTTTTCTTTACTATCTTTACAAGTATTGGAAGGATTCCTGTATCAATAACCTGCTTATGAACAGGTTCTCCAATATTGTTTATCAACATTTCCAGCAACTGCAGTATTATGTGACAACCCAATAAGTATAACCAACAAATGAACTATCTCAACAAAGGCTGCCAAACCAGCAAAAAAATTGTTATAGAATCAATGGACAACATTATTTCTAATGAGATGGAAAAACGTTGGAGAATCTTAAAGTACTGACATTTACTGAGAAGAGTTGTGAGTTTGGGCTTTTACTTCCCAGCCGTTTCTTTATAGCTTTGATGACATCTCTAGCTTGCCTGTTCAAATCAAAGCAAGCAATATCATATCCTTGAGTCATCAATAAGATGGAAGTTGAATGCTTGGTTGAAAAGTAGCGAATAAATAAAGACTTTAGCTAACAGATCTAAAACTTCCAATAGATTTTGTACTACCGTTAGAATAATAATTTGAGAGTTGAAAGAAAGTGTCATACTTGTGATCACGTGCAACCAATTCACATATTTCAATATTTTTTGTCCAATCTATTTCAGTGAGTTTGTCACTTGTTGCAGAGTTGACAAGCTCTACCGCCATCACACTTATTTTCCAGCTGGAGAATAAGAATTTTGTCAGAACCTTCATAAATCTTTCAGGAAACACGTATAATAGAAGTAAATAGGCTCATATTCTGAAGTCCAGACCTAGGAACACGAGTACAGGCTCAGTAGGAAAGATGAAAAAGCACGTCCAAAGCTTTCTTTGTGTGTTAGAAGTTAGAACCATCTAAGTACTTACCTAAAGGTCCCATGTACTGCTAAAAACCGAAAAGTTGTTGGATCAAACTTAATCTCATGTTATGACAGTTTGCAATATACAATCTATAAGCGTAGGTACGATTATAACAAGTGCTTAGGTGCTAGCACATTTTTCTAACATAATTGAAGGTGATTTACAGCAAACTGAAAAATGTCTACCCATGCATCACATCTGACATGACCACCAAAAGTTGGGACTTCTTCAACACAAATGGCACAAAATCCTTTCTTCTTTATGTTTTTAGTTTTCCACATAAGGAAGTCCTTAATATTTTTTAGAAGAAATGCAATGTAGTCTCTGAACATTGACTTCCAGCAATTTAGTCACCCAACTTCGTTTTGGATCCCAAATTCATTCATCAAAATCAAAATAAAAATCACCCATGTGGAGCCCTTCCATGTGATCTATCCAATTCTGGCATAAAAACTAGAGAAAGAGGTCAAAGTTCCAGAGATTCGTAAGATATGCACATTAGGACTTCAACCCCAAAAGTTAGTTCATGAAGTGAGGATTTGCTAAGACTATATAAAGAGACTATATCATGCATCCATGTGGGAATTCCAACACCCCCTCCACCGCCAAGCTCAAGCCTACAACTGGCGTATGGACAACATAATATTGGAATCTAACATGGGATAAAACAAGAATTAGGATTGGCCCGACACTGATACCATTATAAGTGATGGACCTTGGGCCTCTAGCTCATGAAGTTAGTATTGATCAGGACCATACAAAGAGACCATATACACATCCACAACCGATGTGAGAATTCTGATAGAGATCATGCATGCATTAGGGGCTGACAGTATAAATAATCCGTATTTTGGGAGAACTAGAAAAAACTGCCTTAAAATATTATCTGGAGAACAACTGGATCATCTTGGTTGCTAAGTTTGGAACTGATGAGAGTCAGGACAAACAGATAAGGCCAAACAGAGATTAGGGACTAAATGTAACTTTTATTGCATTGAACTTTTTAAAAACATTAGGGAACTTAAGCTTTATTTTCCACTTATGTCATAGCAGCTCAGAAATCATGTCTATAAAATCAAGGGAAAAACTTCCCTGCAATAGATGATACTGCATCTGCAAAAAGCACAACAGGAAATTAATCCATAGATGTCTAATCTGGATAACGCCAAGAAATTCAAGTGCCAGACTCTCAGCAGATACAAAGGCAAGATAAGAACATGCAACTCACATATCAAAAGACACTGTTTTGCTTTTGCGAAGTGGGCATAAAACAAATATATGTGCACCGAAATCTACATCCAAATGCAAGATATTACAAGAAACTATTATAATGGAAGTTACTCATTCTTGTTTGTTGGGCGAGAGAGGGGAGGGGGAATTGATGTACAAGAAACACAAAAAGGAATTCATTGCACCAAGTAGAAGGAGCAAATCTTCAAACAATTGTGCGTGCCAATTTTAAGAAGTAAATTTTATTAATAAAGAATGAGTGGATGACAAGTTTAAACAAATGCTAATGACCATTGCTTACAGAGTTGTTGTGGGTTGCCACTTACATTCCACCGCCTCAATCAATAACCCTGATCTAATTTGTTCCACCTTCCTAGACAAACAGTGGACGATACCAGTTAATACTATGTCATTGATTATGAAATCCCTAAGTGACACCTAGATTCTACATAGGAGTAGCGAATGTGGGACCATAACATTAATCACCAACCACTAACTTTCCCCTCTTCACCTTCTCCCTCTGTCCATCAAGAAACCACAACTCATCTTCAATAACAAAACATACACATATAGTAGCACCACCAGCTTCACTCAAACTCAACCACTTTCGCTCCTCATTGCCACCCAAAGTGTCCATATACACAGAGAAAACCACCATCAACACAGAACCGCAGACTTCCCTTCAGATTATTTCATCAGACTTGGTCTTTGGTCTTTCATTCCCTCTAGGTAAATAATTCAACATTAAACCAAGTGCACCATTTAGCCTTCTTGTAGCACAGGTGCCAACAGATAACATTATACCCAATTTTAGAAAATATATTCAAAAAATATCAAGTTTTACGGGAAGGCCACGGGTTCACAAGTCCCACTTTTTGGCTATAAATTCGCCCTGAACTATGAATTGTAGACGAGCCATAAATCTACAAACATAAATGTCTTCCAAACAATTCACATGCTTCCAGACAAGGCTGGTATCAAAAAAAGATAAACACTACTACCGAAAAGAATCACCACCAACTTTATGTCCAACCAAACATCCTAGATTTAGAAATGTTTTCGGGTGAAACATTTGAAGATATTTTTCATTAAAAAATCATTTCACTTCATCCAGATAGGGCTGTTATCAAATCAAGATAATGATACTACCTAAAAGAATCACCACCAACTTTATGTCCAACCAAACATCCTAGATTTAGAAATATTTTCCTCAGGTGAAACATTCTGTTAGAATATTTTCCATTAAAAATCATTTTACTTCATCCAGACAAGTCTGTTGTCAAATTAAAATAACGATACTACCTAAAAGAATCACCACCCAGAATCATTTGACTAATTCAGCAAGCAATCCAAAAACTAGAAGCTTAACAAATTAGCAGTCAACATCAAAGATTAAATATGATTATAATTGTCATCAAACAACTTATCAAAAATTTAAAAAAGGCCAAATACATAAGGGCCTCTTAAAGTTGACACGCGTCTTCATTAACTAAGGTTGATACCTATTAAGCACTCCAACGTGATTCAAAGTGTATCTATTAAACACAAAATATGGAATTGAGTAATATTTAATGTGATTTGATAAACTAAATAAGAAATGCAATCATTGCTCGATCATTTATCTAATCTACCTAATTAGATGAAGAATGTTGACATGGGCAAAAAAGTGCTTCTCACTTCAACTAGGCGGGAGTGATACCAAAGTCATTTCCTTTTTTCAAATCACACATTTTAACCTGAACCAACACTACAAAAATTGCTCTCCTTCACATTCCCTACAAAAACCGCCAGTTACACCAACCCCAAAACACCACAATTGTTACAATCTCGGGAAAACCACACCCCAAAAGCTAGCTATTGAGGTGCAAGAGCCCAATAGCTATACAAACCCCATGTAGGACTAGACCATAACAATAATCACCAACCATTAACTTACCCCTCTTCACCTTCTCCCTCTATCCATCAAGAAACCACAACTCATCTTCAACAACAAAACACACATATACAATCCCACTACCCAAAAAACTCAACCACTTCCCCACCTCATTGCCACCCCCAAAGACTTCATATACAAAAAGAAAAACCACCATCAAAACAAAACCAGAAACTTCCCAATGAGAGGAATCAAAACCACCCAAACCTATAAATCTACAAACAATTCACAACCTTCCCCTCTCAATACAATCCAATACACATTGAAACTTGAACCCCCTCTTAAATTTCAAGAATAAAAATAAGATCTTGAAAATTTCCCATCAGCTAGTAAGCTTAAATTGTATAAAAACAAAAACCCACAAAGCAAAAGGTGTACAGATAAACTCTAAGTAACAATTTCACGTTAATAGCTCAAGTTAAGAAAAAAAGACAGTTTTTTTAATAGACTCACCTATATTTGGGTGTTGTTGAACTTCTGCTCTGTTAAACTTAGTGGAAGAAGAGGAACAAACACACAGAAAGAGCAAATCAGCAAATGCTTCCAGCTAATCAACTGTCAAAAACACTCAATACAGCCCCTCTAATTTTTTGTATGAATCATTACATACACCTGTATATATATATATATATCTGGCTGGCTGTATAGACAGAGAATCTTTGATAAACTAAGGTGCAAGGCTTCTTCTTCTTTTTTTCTTTTGAAATCTTTTATATTCTTTAGTTTTAATAAAATTTATGTGGCACAAAAAAAGAAAGAAATAAATATTATAAATTATTTTAGATAAAAAAGGTAATATAATTTTAAAAAATGATTAATGTAAGTACTATCACATAAATTGAAATTGTACGAGTGCAACTTTGTAGATTTTTAGATTTTTTTTTAAAAAAAGTAATTTTTAATTAAATTATTTTTTTATTTTTAAAAAAATTGGTTAATGTAAGAACTGTCACATAAATTGAGATCGTACGAGTACAACTCATGACTGGTGTAGATTTTGATGTTGAAATGTGAATTGAAAATTTTAAAATTTTCAATTATAATTTTTAGAATTTGGAATTATATTTAGATATGTAGTTTATTGGTTTATAGATGGAAGTCTCAAAATTTTCAAATTAACTTTTAAAAACTTGAAAATATTTTATATAATCAACTTTTACGACTAAATAAATCATTTCTAAAAAAAAAATCTAGGATCAAAATTTAAGTTTCAAAATCTTTAAATAATATTTTAATGTGAAATCTAAAAGGAGAAAAATATATTTTTGTTGACTTATTTTTTTTAGTTAGTGTTAAAAAGAATGACGCATTTCTATATTAAATAACAATTTAATTTTAAAATATTTATTTTATCTTTAATAAAAAGATTATTATATAAATATTTATCATTTATTTTTTTAAAATATAAACTAATTCATATAAATAGGACAAAGAAATATATATAGTTGTGATTATTGTTGTTATGCATTTATGAAAGTGAGAATTTTCTGACAGTCACCGACCCTGTCCTTCACTCTGAGCTAAGGCTGTCCAGTTAGTTAGAACATCTAATCTCGATTTGAAATTCACATCAACTTGCCCCGTTTCATATGTTTTTTAAGGGGGAAATTTTAATTATACTTTCTCTAATTTTAATTAATATTTTAAAATGTATTCTTTTATTATATTAATATGAGAAAGTTATAATTTGTTTTAGTGTTTCTGAATAGTTTTTTAATATTTATATTTTAATTTTAAATATCTGATTAATCTAATTTAATTAACTCTCGATAGTGAAAGTGACAAGAATTTTAGAACGGAGGAAGAATATTTGTAACATTCAAAATAATAATTCATCTGCAGTCGAAATCTATTTATGAAATCTAAAATTTCTAAAATATGAAAGCACCAGTAAAAGAGAGAATGTTTATGAGAACATTATTAAAAAGAGAAGAAAAAACATTAAAGGAATGAACTTTCATGTAGGTCGGCCATTATATAGAAAATTAGTTGTTATCGATTGATTGTTTTGAATTTGATGATGTTCTTTATTGATGTATTTTTATTTTATTTTTTTATTTGGTGTTTGAAATTTATATTAAAATTTCTATTAGAATTAGATTGCACATTATAGATCAGTCCATTTGAAAATATTGCTTCCAACAAAAAAAAAAAAAAAGGTCTGAAAAATATTTTAATTTTGATCGAAATTATTGTTACGATATCAAACATCTTTTATCCATGCATTATTTAATAGTGTATTTTAAAGGTATATATGTGCCCACGTGGACACATTACTATTTATAATGATGCAATATTTATGATGTCCACGTGGACACATATATACCTTTAAAATACACTACTCCCTCCGTCTACAATTGTTTGTCAGGGTAAGGTCATGCACACCCCTCAAGGAAAATTTAATATAAAGTGTAATTTGACTAATATAACCCTACTATACCAAGAATACCAAAAATCCACATAACTTTTCAATTGAACTACACTATCATTAAGGGCAAAATTGGAAAAAAATGACTAATTGTTTCTTGATTGTTTGAATTGACAATTAATCTTGGACATCTATTTTTAGTATACCTGCCAAATAATTGTGGACGGAGGGAATATTAAATAGTGTAGGGGGTAAAAGGTTCTTTCTAAAGTTCGGTATTGTTACAGCAATTTCAATCAAAATTCAGATATATTTCAGACATTTTTTCCAAAAAAAAATTATATTCAGATTCAAACTCGAGACCTTCATTACCACTCAACTGTATATTTTCATTTTCATTATAATAGAGACGATGAAATCCCTTTAAATTCTCTTTGAAGGATGAGAAAGGAAAGATTTTTGTTGTTTGGGAATACTTGATCCAAATCTAATGATGATGAAATTACGCTTTACTTCTTCTGTGGTCAAATCAAATTAATTTTTGACTATGAATTTGACATCAAATTTTAAAAAATTTAAAATAAAATTTATATATTTTAAAATTATTAATAAAAGTATTACAAGTCAGAATAATTAATAATTTGAATTTTTAAAAGGTATATAAGAAATTATAATTATAAAAAAAAATTGTTTGAATCTTGAAATTTCGAAAGGTGTAACATTAATTGATCGGTGGAATTCCTCCATCCTAACTTAGGGATTCAAGACAAAAATAAATAGCATGTTTTTTAGCTATACCATTAAACCCTATTAACTCAATAGTGTTCAGTTTTCAAGATACATTTATTAAATAAGGACAGTTTAGCAGAAGTAAACTACATAGTATTATATTTTTTAATTTCATAATCAATGTGATCCTTGCTAAGATAACACTTATTTTGAAATTATGTATCATCGTTATAACTGTAATTTAACGCACTAATAACAATGTTCATGCTAGTTATGATGATGATTACAAAATACATCACATTATATCATATTTCAAATTTTACTTATGAAATTACGTTGTGTATATTAATGTTCATGCTAATTATGATGATGATTACAAAACACATCACACTGTATCATATTTCAAATTTTACTTATGAAATTACATTGTATATATTATTGTTATTATATTTTTCATTGTTTCAGATTGGTGACTTGATAGCATAATTTACAACAAGAGTCAACAGGTAGGCCAATGTGGTTAAGATAGAGAGTTTATTATGGTGAAGTACTTTGTTGTACATAGATTGCACAACATTAAGACTAGTTATTTTCTAAGACTATAAATTAGAATTTTATTTAGAATTTAGAAAGGATGAGCGTATTATTATGAAAAGGTGGATTTAATATATACATTTGATAGTTTGACCCTTGAGATCTTACCGTTTGAACTCGTTAAACATTTAAAATTATAGGTTCAAAATTAATTCTTATTAATTCAAAAAGTGATTTTCATGTCAAAGATATTGAGATTGGTTGAACTCGTTGATTGTATGATATATCATCGAGTACTAATAGTTTTTATTTACACATTTGGTTTGATTAAATAGAAAACTTACATTGCTAAAATAGTTAGGAATTTTCAACATGACAAACTTGTAAAATTTTGAAAGGTTGAAATTTAAAAAAAAAATAAAAAAATTTATTGATTGGAATGCAAAAAGTGTTACCAATAACCATTTAAAAAGGTGTTATCAAATTTTAGAGCGAAAAAGACAAGATAGATGTAAGATTTGAATTTTCATCCTTACTTAGAGAGGTGCATTCAATCATCACTGCAGTATATGATACTTTGAGTGTGGGTTGACACATTTATATTTAAGTGTTTTTTACTCCCTCTTTTCAACAATACTTGTCCTCTGTTGATTTTGCACACTTATTAATAAACTATAAATAGCTTGAAAAGTATATTACCCTTTGAATATAATGAATACAATGTCTTGAAAATGTAATAGAAGAATGATTATAATTAATGATAAGAATAAATTAGGATTTATGTAAACTTATTCATAGATTTCAAGTTTAGGGGTGTTTACAACACTTTTCTAGAATTTTTATTATGAGTCTCATGCTCCTACAAGAGTTTGAGATTACTTGTTATTGTTGGAGAAAAAGTATAGAGAAATCTGGAAATAACAAAAAAAAGAAGGAAAACTGCTACTGCGTTTAATTTTCAGATTAATTGGAAGTACTAAAATAACAAAATATGCCCACATGATATATAGGCTAAGAGATAAACAACTAATCCTAAATATAGGTCATGTAACACACTATGACACTTAATCAGCAACACTAATGAAACTTGAGTAATTATAGAAAACTACTTAACAAAGACCCAAAGACTAGTTCTACTAAACTACCCATGTCCCATTCAGTCAATCGTTTTGAATCACTCTTTAACATTCCCTCTTGATTCAAAACTACAGACACCAAACAATCCTCTGAAATAGCAGAATTTTTCCTTCGATAAAGCCTTTGTCAATACATCAGCCAACTGCTCTTGTGTGATGCAATATTCCAATAATATTTCCTCTTTTGCTACCAAATCACGGATAAAATAATAACGAATATCAATATGTTTTGTCCTGCTGTGAAATGTTGGGTTCTTTGTCATGGAGATAGTTGCTTTACTATCGCAAAATATCTATGTTGCTCCTCTCTGCTCCTGTTGAAGATCAGCTAACACTCTCCTTAGCCAGACAAGATGTTGAAGTTGCTGCAATGTACTCAGCTTCTGAAGTTGACAATGATGTTATAGCTTGCTTCTTTGAACTCCAAGTCACCACACCTGAACCTAGAGTGAAACATTCGCCGAAACACTCCGTCTATCATCCAATGAACTTGCCCAATCACTATCTATGTGCCTGCACAATCTGAAATTATCATTTTTGGAGTACCAAAGTCCAAAGTTCCAGCGATGTACCGCAAGACTCTCTTTGATGCCCCATAGTGAACCTTTGAAGGTTGTTGCATAAACCTAGAAATAACACCTACATGATATGCAATATCGGGTCTAGTATGCGTCAAATATATTAGACCTCCAACCAAGCTTCTGAACCTCTTTGCATCTATCAATTATTCTTCATTTACCTACTGCAATTTCTCACTGATATTCATTGGAGTAGCTGCAAGCTTTCAATTAAGCATGCCAAATTTATTTAGTAGATGTCTAGCATATTTCCTTTGTGAAAGAAATATTCCCTCTTCAATTTGATGGACTTAAAGGCCAAGAAAGTAATGTAATAAACACA